TCTAGGGCTTGGGCTAGTCTCCATGGAGACCCCAGCCACACCTGCATGGGAAAGCTCAGGCTGGGGCTGCCATGGAGACCAGCCTGAGCTGCACTGGCAGCGCACGTGGCAGAGCTGTTGGGAACTTGGGATGGGGGCAGCTTGCTCCAGAGCCAGGGCAGAGCCACAATCTATAGCCTGTATGCTCCAGACAGGGGTGCACAGGCAGCTGATCACGGCTGTGCTCCGACTTCTTGCAGTGGTGACCATAGGTGGCAGAAGGCTGGAGCTAATGGGGCTCAGTCCCCACAAACACAGGGCAGTGGGTTGGGCCACGAGGCAGCCCAGCTGCAGGCTTCAAGCAGCTGCAGCAGGGGTGGAGAGAGACATGCACGCAGCCCAGCGTGTGGATCACTGGCTGCCCAGCACGGCAGGCAAGTACCAACCTATTCTGTGAAGGGGAAGGGGCTCTGGGGGGGCAGATTGAGGCCCCGCCCTGCAGTGAGGGAGGGAGCGTGGCACAAGCAGGGGCTGGAGTGAATGTGGCCCTGGCCAGGCTGGGTGGTGAGACAATCAGAGCCCAGGCAGCTTGTCCAGTGGCACTGGGGGGCTCCCACTGCTGTGCGCACCTTGGCAGATCTATGTACAGGGCGGAGGCAGCTGCCACTCTGCACTGGGTTCTTTGCCCTGCTGCAGCTGGCCCAGGAGCAGCAAGATGCCATGTGCCTGCCACCACTGGGCTGTGCCGTGCTGCACCCCCCGAACCACCTAGTGGCGGGACACACGTGGCACTGCGCCACTCCTGGAGCAGTGGGGCTGAAAGCATAATGCGCAGCAGCAGCCACCTCCATCCTGTGCACATATCGGGGGAGAGGGGGGCATGTGTACTCTTGGCCTCCCCCAGAGCATGCATAGTGGCAGGAGCCCCACAGCACCCCTGGACGAGCCACCCAGACTCCGATGGTCCCACCACATGATGGGGCCTGGGCCCCATTCACTGCAGCACCTGACCCTGACTCTGCCCCACTCCCTTCCTCCCTCACCATGGGAGCCCTTGATCTGCCCCGCCCCCCACACCACCACAGCCCTATCCCCTCCCTCCACCCCCTCCCCCACAGACTTACCTGCTGGGCAGGGCAAGGCATAGTGGGGTGCGTGCGTGCATACGCGCACTTTGCTCCCCCCAAATAATGTTTTCTCCCTCCACCTATGGTGGTATCAGCCTGGTCTGGAGGTTAGATCCTAGGGTTGCACTTTAATTCAAAAAGTGATCTTGTGCTTAAAAAGGTTAGAGACTATTGATCTATAACAAAAGAGTTAAGCTGATCTATCTGTCAGTGTGCAGTTATATCCAAATCCTTTCTGCCTAAAGGCCATGAAAATTCACTTGTGTTTTGACAAATGAACACCACAGCAATTGGAAAAACGTAAATACAGAAATCATTTTAATGGTACAGAATCATATTTTATTTGCCCATTAAAAAAAAAATCCAACTACCCACTTCAGGCATTAGAATTTTACAAGGCAGGTACAAACATTTTAAATGCAGCCTAACATGAGTGAGAAGTACCCATACAGATGGCCACTAGTGTCATGTAAATGACCATACCATTCTGAAATTTCAGTGATTTAAATACTCGTCAGCTTTTGCTTTCATTTGATCATGTCATTTGCTATACACTGTAACTCTTAAAAAGACTACATGAAAGAACACCAGTTATCAATTCTAGCATATCAAAATACAAACCAGTCTCTACCTCCAGAGCTTATACTCAGAGCACGTAACAATCCGTTCACAGGTGGGTTTTTTTCTTCCTCCCTGCC